AGCAGAGCCTGTTCCGTCGTCGAGCTTGAGAACCGACTTGAAGGCCATCCAGCCAAGCTCCACATCTCTCCACTTGAGGCACGAACTTAAGAATACACCAACGCGTCCGCCTTGCAAGGCCACGCTCTTTGAGCGCCTCGTTTTGAGCGAGAGAACTTCCCACCGATGCCTCTGTATCCAGCCATCGACCATCTAAAGCCTGCCCGGAATCCTCTCTATCAAGCTCTTGGTTTTTTCTGCGTTTTCTTCTGTGGCATAAGATACAAATGGGACCAACCTTTGTTTCCATCAAGGACAGATTATTAGTAAGAAATGATAAAGCGAGCTCATATTTTTCATACCTCGAGCCTGACCAGTTTGCCGCTGCTAAAAAACCTGCAACGTTTCAAGTTCCTTCTCCAGCCATTGGAATGCAGCAAGATCGCTTGACTTATCCCTCGACAAGCACCAGCTCTACGTCAATATCTCTGCAAGAAAATATATAAAAATCACCTGGATGCTAGAAACGAATAGCCAGATACCTCTCTTTAGACACGATGCAGCATTTCAAGTTCTTTCTCCAGCCACTGCAATGCAGCAAGATCGTTTGACTTATCCCTGCACCACTCAACTGGTAGCTCTACGTTAATATCTCTGCAAGAAAAAGGAAATAAGAAAATCACCTGGATGCTAGAAAAGAATAGCCAGTTACCTGCGTAAGGACAAAACTTCCATGTTTTTCTCAAGCAACACGGAATGCTCTTTGAGAGCATCTTGTATGTATGGCTTCCCAACCGCTCGAATTGCCGCTGCACTTAATATATTTTCTAGCGAGCCGTGCTTCCTCATAAGTTTCAGAGCTGTTTTCCGTCCAAAACCAGGCACACCGGGACCACCATCAGCAGCATCCCCTAGCAAGCATCCTTGGAAAGAAAAAAACAAGAAGAAATAATCAGCCAAACTCACGAAACTGGATATATACGAAGTCCCAATTCAATCCCAGGCTCGCGTTTGTGTTGTTCAACGTAATCCTTGACAGTGTGAAACGACCAAATGGTTGATATTAAATAAGATTAATCTTGTGTCTATAAATTATCAATATCTTTATAATTATAAACGTTTCTTTGATCAAATGGATTAATATATAAGAATAATATTACTATTAAGAATTAAGTATTATTGCATGCAACGGGCACCAAATTATTTGTTTGCTTAACCAAACCTATAAGGGGATAGTGATTATACCTAGAATATGCTTGAATATTCTAGGATATTCTACCATCTAACAGTACTATTAAACAAATTAAGCA